ATCGTAAAGATATAATTTGTTGATATAGGTGTAGTACGCACGTTTGTTTGCGTTAGCACATTTGCGTATCGCGATGAAACTGGCACTGGCGCTGGCGCTGACGATAAATTATGCAAATTTAACGCGACACGTGCTTCTACATGGTTTCTGAATAAGAAGGTTGTGTGAGCAAGCAGCAACAGTAAAACAAAGTCGATCGATTGGTAAAAGAAAAGAAAAGAAGAGATAGAGAGAGAGAGAGAGAGAGAGAGATTTTCTATTCTTTACCTAGTTTATTTCAAACTGTTATCGCAACTTCGATAATTTATTTAATATCTTTTTAGCATCGAATTCCTTCAATATATTTTTTTTTCTCTTCATCATCGATTCTTCGTCGTTTTACTTGCGAAAGAGTAGTAGCTGTCTCTCTTTCTCTCTCTCTCTCATTGCTGTTGCTTGCTTGCTCGTCTCGTAATTTTTATTCTTCCTTTTTAACCGTACCGAACTACTACAACACGTTCTACCTCAGTTGTTACAGGCATCCGTTAGAAAGTAAAGAAACCTATGGATTTCTTCCTTAGAATTGTACCTCTTAGATTTATGATATGCTCCTTTGGTTACCAGCAAAAACTTCTAATCTCCCTGGTTGAACAAAATCAACCGTTTATCCAGGCTGGTTCTATGCATTTCTCGTTGTTGTAATTATATGAATAGAATTATAATGCAACGAACTTTGCAATCGTAGAAACGGATGGACAAACACGTTGATTATTGGAGATAAGCTATTTTTATTATTTGTTAAAAAGGAAGAAAAACTTAAGAATCAACTTTCTCACGCAATTTGTTTGTTTTTTCTTTTTTTCGTAATAAAAATTATACGACAACGTCAAATTTTTTGGTTCTCTGCGAAGAGATAATTAAGATTTATGAAAAAGAAAATTGTACATTTTATTTAAAGATTACAAATATAATTATCAGTATTTTTTTAAGGAATTGTTTTATTTAACACTTAAACTGAAACTAAGTTGACAATTATTTGCGTACAATTAATAATAAATACATAAAATATATTAAAATAATAATTAAAATTAAATAAATATTGTTTATTGGCCGAACACGATTGAACGATACGATAAAAATAGTGTTTAAAAAAAAAAAGAAGGAAAAAAAGGATGAATAAGACAGAAATTTGTTGATGGCGAGCCGAAGGTGCGACCAAGTGTAAAATCTAAGGTCAATCGGGGCTCACCCGTTAGAAGTGAAAGGGTTGGCTAGCATTAATCGTATCTGCGGGGTGAAAAGGCAGGTACAGGCGGCGGCGGTAAGTAAAACCAGCACAGCTATACTAATGGGCTCAGCTCACCTGCTTTCCTTTTACTGTATCTTGACCTGCGCGGTAAAACGATGGTATTTAGGTACTCCACTTTTGCTACGAAATTAAAACAATCCTAATAAGATATATTTGAACATTTATGGTCATTCGGTACATTATTGCTACTCGAACCGGAAACTGTGTATATGACATATTTTCTCGGAAGCCTTTTATTAGAATTCTCTTCAGAATTTTCAACTAACACCGATTGGGATGGGGTCAGATAGTATTTTACGATAACTTTTCGAGCTACCGCTATTATTAGTAATATGATTCATTATTTGTGTATTCGAATGGCAATGGTGTCAACAAAGTCGTAATTCTAGAATCTAAAGGAATAAGATTACTGCTAACCAATCCACTTAAATATATCTTCTTATCAAGATACTTTCCAACGAGGGATTATAAATCAACTCGAGCGTTCGTTACATTACGTTTAAATCAATCATACAGAAATCGATATTATGCATCTGTTGAATCTACTTAAATATATAATTTCAACAAAATTCGATATATTAATATCATTGCAAAAATATTTTGTATAATATTAAACAAATATGATTTGAAAAATACCTACAAATAAAAATACAACGAATATTTTTTTTCCAATTTTCTATTACAAACTTGAACGAATTCGCGCAAATTATTATACGTTCAATTAAATCATTCCATAATTTCGAGAAAAGAAAATAGTAAAGAAATAAAAAAATCGAAGAGTCAACAAGTTTAATAACACAATAGCAAAACGTCGAGATACATGACATTAAGAATGGTTGGTAATATAACGATAGGTGTCAGGGCTACTATGTAAGTACGTAAGTAAGCAACATCGATACTTCAAAAAGGACTAATAAAAGAAAAGAAAAGAGAAAAAAGAAAAAGAAAAAAGATAAGAAACATGTACAAATAAGAAAATAAGATGTGTCTTTCTCTCTCTTTTTTTCTTTCTCTCTTTTTCTCTCCCTGTCGAGGCGAGAATCAACGTGGTGGTTCTCACCTCGTCGTCGAGAGACATTTCCCGCTTGTCGCCTCGTTTTCACGTCCAGCTTTACCTCTTACATACCCTCCACTAGTCGCTGGATAACCGCATAAAAGTATCCCGTTACCACGGTAGCCCAGATACCGGATTACGAAGCACGAATTGTCAATCGTGTGCGACGAACGAGACGAGACTTTAAAAGGCCTTTCAAAGGTTGCAAGATATGAACAAAGAAAAAAGAGAGAGAAAATAAACGATTACAATCGAATTAACATATCGATTTTGAACACCTTTTTTTCTTCAAAATCAAAGGAATTTGTAATTTTCGAAAGGGAAAAAGATCATTGACGAAATGTGAGAGATATCGGAACATCTTATTTATTAAAATGAAAGAAAAAGAGAGGAAAAAATAAACGATTAATATAGGATTTAAAATATCGATCTTGAAATATTTGTAAAATTTCTACGGAATTTTGTGAAAGGGAAGGTTTCTTAAAAACATTGACGAGAGATGAGGGCTCAGGAGAAGATCTTACTATAGTTGTAACGCTATGATATTTAAATGTCAAAGTAGCAGGATCCTCTTCTAAGGGTTAAAGTACGCTTTCACGGATAAAATTAAAGTCGAAGAAATATCCTTCGAGATTTGAAGATTATGATCATATGATGGACTAGTATTCTGATTATATTATGTAGTTTCTATCTCTCTCTCTCTCTCTCTCTCTCTCTCTCTCTCTCTCTCTCCCTCTCTCACTCTCTCTTACATGTATGACATAATTAGAAGTTTATTGACTTATTGAACACGATGAGTTGGTTATAATTTTGGTACGCAAATAGAAAAAAAACGATTAATCGATAATTAGGTCTGTTTTAAACCTAATCTATCGAATTATTGGAAAATCTGTGATATCGGTAACAATAATAGAATTCAAAGAGTTGTGTTGAGAGTTAGAGGAGTAGATAAAACTCTATTATGTCGTAATAACAGGATCGAATGAATCACGGGGTCGGTAATGTCAGGATCGGTAAATCGGTGAATCGGTGAACGGATAGCTAGCTTACATACGATTTTCCCTTTTTTTCTCTTTCTCTTTTAGCTTATCAAAATTGTACTGCCTATTATATCTAAATCTACTTATCGTATAACTCTAAATGTCGTTTTTATAATTTAAAATAATTCATGTTTCTTATTATGTTTAATAAATTAAATTACCATTGTATTAAAAATTAGTTAAATTAATTAATTATGTTTAAAATACGAGGCTGGGTTGAAAAATGTTGAGCATCAATAAAAAATACTTATCTGTTTTTTAAATAAAAGTGAGTTTGATCTAACGAAATTGATTCTATGTTAGGTTCAAATCATCTCGAATAAGCCACATGTAAATAAAACCATAATAATTAAAAATAAAAAATTAATTTATATATAATAATAAAAGAACAAAATTTGCATATCATTTTAAATAATAAAGATAATGAAACGGTTTAAAAATAATGTAAATAATAAATAATACGTCGTTAAGAAAATATTAATTCATCAAATGTACGAACGTACAAGGGTTGTTGTTGATCGAAAAGTATTGAGTGTCAATATGTAAAAAGAACTTTTATTTTTCTTCCAAAATGAAATTGAGCTTGAGAAAGAGAAAAAGAATTGTTTCTATATTGGATTTATACAAACTTTCCAGCTCACCCTCTTATTAAAAATTCTTTTACAAAAGTCTGTAAGATATTCATTTACACGCGAGATCGAGAAATGGAAGGGATCGACGAACTCGATGGCATTTCGGCCTTTCGAATCCTCATTATGTCAAAGAATGTTAAGCGTTCTCTAAAGTGATATAGTAGGTAAGCCATTTCTTTTTGAAACGAATATACAAACCCGGCTATCGTATTCTCTCGTTGCGGTTATCAATCAGGATATCCGCGTGCGGTTAGAAATTAATTGTGTTCAGATAAAGCGAAAGTACATAGATAAAATAAAATAACAGACGGTTGGAAGATTAGGTTAATAAACCGCAACGAGATTGAATAACAAAATTGTGCTGCTCGATATATGCGAGATCCTCGGTTGATGATGATGCTGCTGATGGTGATGCTGATGCTGATGCTGATGATGATAATGATGTTTTATTCGTCTAATTCATTCTTCCTAAAAATTCTCTTTTTCCATTACCTATCATTCAAAACATTCACTCTGACTTGACCTATATGATATAAATAAATCAAAGAGAAAGTAAACAAGCGTTAAATGCAGCTTCATCGAGCTAATTGTTTTTTCATCTGCGACATCTACTTTTTTGTCTCGACGAACAAATTACTGGAAATGTAATAAAAAAAAAATAAAAAAAAAATAAAATACACGTCGAGTGAAAGCAGCTCGTACTCGTCCTCTATTTCTATCTTCTTCTCTTTCTCTTTCTCTTTCTCTCTCTTTCTCTCTCGTATATACATACGTGTTTATACACACATATATATATATATATATAAGATACGTAACGCATACTCTGATCGATCTCACTCGAATAGCCGGAGCGTTTTATCGATCAAATATTTGGGATAGAGAATTCCATAGAGAGAAACCCTTAGAATATCGGATAGAAATAAAATTTTTCACATTGAAAACATAACTGTAAAGAAAAATTAAAAAAAAAGTAAACGGAAACTTACCCCTAATTTTGGTTTCCTGTCGATCGAGGGGCGTTATGCGCGGGTGGTTCTGCTGTCCTGGCTTCTTCAGCAGAACACCCACCACCTGTGGCGCCATCATCATCTCCACCAGCTTTTCTTTATTCTTCACTTCCTTCTTGATAAACTTCCCACCAATCTTCTACTTCTTCTTCTCCCTCTTCCCAACCTAACCCGCCACACGATAAACAATAAATGATATTCAATCGATAGTCAACATCGTTTTTCTTGAAGCTCCACGCGATACGAAAACAAAAAAATAAGAAAACCAATAGACGAAATAAAATCACGTTTTTAAATTGAGGAATTTAAATAAACGAACAAACAACACACACACGAGTCACAATTGTCGTCGGTGTCAAATCGCTTCTTCTTTTAACAATCAACATCAGCAAAATTTCATGCGAATTTAGCTCTCCCAATCATTCCGATTTCTTCCTTTCCTCCTTCTCTTTAACCTTTTTTCTTTTTCTTCTTTCTTCGTCGAAATAACAGAGCACACGTAAAAGATAAAAAGAAAAAATGAAAAAAAGGGGAAAAAGGTGGCGACGCTCTTTATTGGTCGAGGCGCCGACAATTCGACGATCTAGAAGGCGCCGTCGTTCACTTTTGCAACAGTGTGTTGTCTCTCCTTCGTATTTATTATATTATCGTTAAACAAGATTATTCAAGAGACAACTCTTCCCCGCAATAATAATATGTCGGTTTCGTTTACACTTCGACTTCAATGACGATGATCATCATCATCGTTATTATTATTATTATTATTATTTTATATTATTATTCTATATTATTAACTTTGTGTCTTCGGTTCTTCAAGAAAATTAATTCACGTTCGCTTTCTTCCACGAAATTTAACAATAACAGTTTACCAGCCCTTCGAAATTTCCTTGATCGGTCGTTTACAACATTCACTCTATTGTTGTTATGCTAAGATAAGGAAAGTGAATTTCTTCTGTCATTATTTATTTATTTATTTGTAATTTTTCTCTCTCTCTCTCTCTTTCTTTCTTTCTTTCTATATATGTATATATGTATACATCCTATTCTCTCGTTCCTGTTGAGATACAATTTATGTTTCGAAGCTCGAGGATGCATAAAAAAAACGTTCGCTGCTGTTTACACAGGTGATCCAAATGCACTACTATTTAACTTTCTACTAACACATATATACATACATACATGAATATATATATACATACATATAAATATACATACATATATTATTCTATCAAATAGTTAATCTAACGAGAGAAACTATTTAACACTTCATCACCTCCCCACCATCACTCTACGAGAATAACGAATGTTTTTCTTGCACGAATCCCGGTGACACGTTTCTAACGTTTAATCGAAACTCAAAAACCGTTTGGTGTCGCGTGGTATAGAAATAATAATATATAAACACATTAAACATCCTACCCGGCGCATGTCCGGCGAACGACTGACTCTGACTGACTAACGCTAGTGTCCCGGAGTGCATCGTGCTTATCCCCACCATTGCGGCTTCCCGACGGTAGTCTATCCACTGTCTATCCCCACTCTTCACCGGCGTAGCTGCGCAGCTACTCTTCCCATTACCCTACGGATCGTTTACCATGTTTACGCGCATCCCTTACCAGCCTAACGAGTAAAAAACACTGATTTTTTTTTCTTTCTTTCTCTTTATACTTATTTCCTTTTTCTTTTTTTCTTTCTTTTTATTTTATTTTCGTTGAAAGCGACACGATATTTGTGGAATTAATTTACGTTCATATACGCTGTCTTTAGAAAATATGTTTTTAAAGAAAACAGTTTGAAGCCTGAAATATGAGAAAAATAATTTCTTGTTTTTGTTAGGATATTCTAAACAAATAAATCGTCGTGAGGAACGTTATGAAAGAAATTATTATGAATAAATATATTTTTTACCACACATATTTATTTAACCCTCTATGGAAAAGTGTTATTTTTAAGTAACATATTCATTTTTTGGCATTTTACTTAATGAGATGGCTTATACATCTTAATTTTATAATGTCTTCGAAACAACTAATACCATATTCATGACGATTGCTAATATAATCAACGTAAAATAACAAAATAAATGTTGCGCAAACTGTCTGCAGAACAAGAGAAATTTTCTTTTTAATTGATATTATCTTGATTTCTATCGGGGTTTATAAAAGATAAAAAATTATTAATATAGTAGCTCTAAGTTTGAATATCCATAAAAACTTTTTTTTTTTATTTTTTTTTTAAGATGAAGTTCTGTTACTTTGAAATAACAGTGGCTCATAAAGGACTCTTCTGTATATTTAAGATCAAGATTAGATGTTCCGTCAAATATCGGAAAAAGTTGAAGAATTCGTTAAAACAAACAATTCCTGACCATTTTTATCAGTTTTATTTGTAGAAAAGATACGAAAATACCAGAGGGATAGATATTCACGACAAAAATAGTTAATATTTACTTAGTTTACACCGGTGGTCAATGCTTAGTTGTTATATAAGGGAGAATGTCTAGGTTTTCTAGGCAAAAGTGGAGACATTATGGGCCGTTGTTGCCTGAAAGTTTTATTACCTGAAAGAATTTATTGTAATAAAATTGTTTAACCCTTTCGCACGGACGGGACATGTGCTGTCCCAGTCTGAGAAATTTTTCAATCAATTCAAAATTCAATCGTGAAATCACTGTTGTTGATGGTGCACTGTTATGGGGACGTTTATGCGTCTCCAAGTCCTTCAATTTTTTAGGCATAAAAGTTATTTTATCTAATAATCGCTTGGAGGAGAAATGAACTGATCTTTGTAATGGAACGCACTCGGACTGATTTTGCGCCGTATTGAAAGGGTTAAACCAAAAAATACTTGTTTTCATTTACATATATATGTTTATAAGTGATGATTATTACTTCCAAAAATTTTTGTTTATTTATAAAAAAAAATTAGGGCCCATAGAAAGTTAAATAATATACTAATGATAGCATTATCGTTAATTATTAAAATAATAAACAGTGTGTTGATTCTAATTTTAAATTGTCTGATTCTTAACAAATATAGTTGGATGGAATAGTAAAGATCTTTTTTAAGAGAAAAATATTTGTAGCATTTACAATGGTTTTCCTGTTTCTAGTAAAGCTGGTCAGGTCGATAGGACGAAAATGGACTAGATAAAAGTGGTATTCATGGTATGTTCCTTAATTTTTCTTTTTCTCGGAAACACTTTGAACACGAGTCAGGTAACTTATGTCAGAATCATCAATTTTTTGATTACTTTCATGTCTCAAAATCTTACTACATATATCATTTCACTCTCTTTCTTTCTTTCTTTCTTTATCATTCAATTTTTATTTCCTTCCGAAGCAGAGAAATAACACCTCTTAATGGATGTTTATCGATATTTACACACGAGTCATCCTGCAAGTTGGGATGCAATATTTCCATCCGATTAATCGCCAGTACCGTTTTTCTTTTTAATCCGTCGACCATAAATAGGTTACAGCCCTACAGCTTTTTCTATTTCATACGAAAATACTTTAACATACTGTATACTCCTGGATAGGATGATTCAATAACTAAAAATGAATGGAAACATTTTTTATTTTCTAAAACCATAATTCAACCATGATTTTTTCAAATAAAATTAAAATGAAAAAAAATTAAAATGTGAGAGCAGTCTTGCTTATATTCTTTAACAAGTCTAAAATATTCAAAGTTTGGTTGAGATGAGCGCTATAAAGATGCACGAAACCATGGTCACGGTTCTTCGTGTAAACTAATTAAGCTTGGTAAGCGTAGGAAACAGCGAAATTGTTCTATTAAGATGGAATACCGAGGGAACCTGTAACGGTAATAGAGTTGGTTAATAGTATTAACGATAGTAATGGTATTAAACGACGCGTGTATGCGTTTGCATGCTACAGGATGCAGGATATACGTGATCAAGCTGTGACGTTAAAACGTTTCGAGATCTATGACGACAATGCAAAAATGAAAAAATTCAGTGACATACTTTCACTCTCTATCTACGATTACTATAGTATATATGGTATATAACTCGCCACGTGATTCGTATCATTGACTCTTTAAAGTGCATATAAAATAAATCGTAAAAAAATTCGTAGGAAAATATTTCCTTGTTGTTGTAATAATAATATTTATTATTATTATTATTATTATTATTATTATTATTATTATTATTATTATTATTATTATGATAACGATGTAGTAATAATAATAAAAATAATAATGACGATAATCATCGTCATTTGATCTCATTTCATTTATGTGCTTGTATTTATTTGTGTATTCTAAACAAAATGAAAAGAAAATTACTAAAATTTAAATAAAACGAATCGCATGTTTCGATAAAAATAGAGAAAGAAAAATTCTGAGTAAAAACGTGACAGTAAAACTATCAACGATAAAGTCTCTGATACATTCTATAAATATATCACAGGGCGCTTCTGTTTATGTCACATCACGTTCTGGACCACCATAAGCTTTTGAAATTGTCACGGTTCTTAACGTTGCATTCATTTTTTCACCGTTATGGAATAGGACGTGCTGCGGCGACGACATATTAGCAGGCCCCATTGTAACATTGAATAATAAAGGGAAAAAGGAAGAAGAATGCGAAGAATAAGATGACAAAGAGAAGAGACTATTTTATTTCTGGGAGTTTTATCGTTTATGGGCAGGTGAAAAAATACGATCACCTATAAAATGTGATCATGTATGTATGTGTATGTATGTGTGTCGACGTCGAGTTCCCTCCATCGAATGAAATCTTTTTCTGCTCGACCTTTTATTTTCGGCATCGTTTACCTTTGAGATCAATCGAAAAATATAGGTTGAATAATCGAAACTTAAATTTTAAATTAGCAATGTTATCTTCGATGCAATTAATTTGTTCGATATCGTTCGATAGATTTGGGTCAGTGAAAATTGGCAAAGAAGAAGAATGGTTGATCCGGTTATTGATCTTTGATTCGGAAAAAAAACAAATAAAATAAAAACCGAATTAAAACATATCGAATCTCAATAAATCTTAGCAAAGGAAACGAGAAGAGTCAGTCGACTTTATTTACGATCGATTGCGTTCGAAGGTAGAGTGGCATTCGGTCGAGTGCTTCCAAACGAGATATTATAAGCGAACGATGCATTGATCCATGTCGAGAAAACTTGTGTATGTTTATATATATGTTTGTATGGATACGTACGTATGTATTGACATCGAACAATGCTCTATAGACCTCTCCAATGTCAGTAATGATAGTCGTTTAATATCAATATTCCGAAGGCGTTCAACGACGACACAGAAATGCCGAGAGTTTAAACTCGATAGAAGCTTAATGCGAGAATCGATATCTCGATGTTACGAAGGGAACAAAATTTATATCGCGAAATATCTATTCATTTTCACGCACGTACCCATTGTGTGAGATTATTTTTGCCGTTATCTTTTGCCGAGAATAAATGAAATATCGTTCGACCTTTTTTTTGTTTGACAAACGATAATAAAACCAACAAAAAATGTGAACGTGTTTTTTGGATTGACAAAAAAAGAAATATATTTATATAGGCGTGCATTTCGATAAAAAAAAATATATTCGTATGTAATAGAGAGACGGAAAGGTAAAATTACGAAGCTTTAAAAAAACGCTTTACTTTTATCTTTGACACACAAGGCAGACAGCAACAGCAGCAGTAACAGCAGCAGCAACAGCAGCAACGGTGGCGGCATAACGTGGATGAAATAACTTTTTCGAGGTATGCAATGTGGCAGAGTTCTGGCCGTTGGAGCTCCTGAAAATATCTCGACTGGGAGGAACGAGACGCCAGGCTGATTCTCGAATGCAAAAAGACGACGAGTACCTCGACCGAAATAAAATTCGCCTCTCTCTCGCATTGGCTGGTTAGTCTCGTTGCAAAATGTAGAACGCGAGTTTGTAACAAGAGTCGGTTGGTACCTACGATTCTTCGTTAAATTATCGTCGACCGTGGGTCTGGTAATTTCGTTTGAAACAAGGAAAAGAAAACAAAAAAGAAGAAAAAAATTCAAAAGAATGATAAAAGAGGAGGTGGAAATTTACGATCGAACTTGATCTTCGAGCGAATGAGCAAACAAGCAAGATGCTCTTTCTCCCTTCGTTAAAAATTTCTTTCTTTGGTCCAAGCAATCCGATAAAAAAACACTCGCGCGAATTTAAAAGGCAATGTTTTATAATCTTCGATGCGCCAGTTTGTTCAACGTCTCTCATTGGGATGCTTTCTGAGTCACGAGTTACACTCACTCAACGTTAGTCACGGACAATTTAATTAGAATTATCTGCCGGTTAAAAGAGAAGGAGGAGGAAAAAGAAGAAGAGAAGGCGAGTACGAGCGCGAAATAAATGTTCGAATCGATTTATTTTTCATTACAAGAATGTGTGCTTCGAAATAACGAAAAATATCAAATCGATTAATAGAAACAAAAAAGTTTTTAACAACACCTATCACTTTTTTTCAAAATCCAACGAAAAAAAAGACAAAGAAATTACCAATACTAATTGTATCAATTATTTTGTTCGTAATTATACCATAATATCTTAATTTAAAAAAATCTACAAAAAAAAATAGGAAAAATATTAATCTATCATTAGACTTACTAAAATAGAGAACACCGGTTAAGGTTTTGGAATGCTAGAAAGTAGGTGAAGAAAAAATATCTTCCAAATTCCGGAAGTTCTTTTCGTAGAATGTGCGGCCAACGA